CTTCCTCTAATGTCTTTTCATCATGGTCTTAACAAACATTACGTCAGTGCGTCAGTGCAGTTACCTTAGAAGTTTTGTAAAGGCTCCTTTGCTTTTGGAAATGTGCCCAGAGGAAGAACTCTTCAGCTGAACCCTCCCTCCCTCCGGGGGTGCCCTGGGTTTTTGGCTGCTTGTATCCTCAGAATGGGGCAGGCTGGCACTTCCCTCTGGCTCTCCCTGGAGCAGGGCTCACCGCTTGTCCTCCTCTCTACTCACAAAACCCTCCTGGATGGGATCCTGCTGCCCTTTGTGCTGCTCTCCCAGGGCCTGGGTGTGCTCTGTGTGGCCTGGGACTCCCGTGTCTGCTCCCCTGCCCTCAGGTTAAAACCTTGTGTCTGTGGACACACATGGGAGAAATTGCAGGCTGGGGTCGGGTGTGTATTGGGGTGTGTTGGCGGCAGCTCCCTGCCAAAGTCCCTCTTCCTGGCTTCTCTGTTCCCAGCCACACAGCAGTTTAGCCTGTGGGGCTTAGATGGAGGGGTCAGCCACAGGCCCTAGGGCCATGGCTTTGCCTCAGGGTATTCAAGTAGGACACAGTCTATTCCTGGTGGAGCTGAGACTCTTGCTAGCTCTTTATTCATTCTCATCTTCAGAGCCCCTTGCCTTATCAGGCTTGCCCTATGTCCCACAGAGCTCTGCTGAGGAAGCTTGGGGGGCTTTTCCTGCCCTCAGAGGCCAACCTCTCCCTGGACAGCTCTGAGGGGCTCCTTGCAAGGGCTGTGGTCCAGGTGGTGAGTGCCCCCAGTGGTTATGTATGGGCCAGGCTAAGGGGACAGGGATCTGCTTCTGCACTGGCCTTAACACCCCTTCTGTCCCCTCCTATTCCAGGTCATAGAGCAGCTGCTGGTCAGTGGGCAGCCCCTGCTCATCTTCCTGGAGGAACCTCCTGGGACCCTGGGGCCACAGCTGTCAGCCCTGGGCCAGGCTTGGCTGGGATTTGTGGTAAGGGCGGTCCAGGTGGGCATCATCCCAGATACTCTGCTGGTACCAGTGGCTGTCACCTATGATGTGGTTCCGGATGCACCGTGTGAAATATACCATGTGAAAATGTGAGACCTTCCAGCCCCTTGGGCAGAGGCTGATAAGGCAAGGGGCCCTTAGGTGGACACCAGTTCCAGAGAGAAGGCACAATATTGTGTCCTGTGGCTAAGTCCCTCTTAGAGCTGCAGGGGCTTCAAAGGAATCATCCCTATAGTCATCTTACAGCACCTGCCAGGGCCATTACCATCTTCTCATTTTATCCTCTGAAGACCTTGATAGGGAGAGATTTTCCCTGTTTGATGAAGAAAAAAGGAACTTGGGGAGGGCAAGGTCATGCACCAGTGCGGCCTGAGATAAAACTGAGCAGGCTGGGACCTGAGGATACCCCTGGAGAGCAGGATGGGGTGGGCAGCCCTGATGTCCACCTGAGAGCAGTGCCCCCAGTCAGCCTGTACAGTTATCCTCTCCCTCCTTGCAGGCCTCAGCCCCCCTCGGGCTGTGGACAGGAGCTCTGGCTGTCCTGCGGAGCCTCTGCAGCCACTTGGGCTGCAGCCGTCAGATCTGCTCCCGGGTACACCTAGCTCAGCCCTTCTCCCTGCAGGTATGGAGCCAGCTGGGGATGGCTGGGAGTACCTGGGGGTCTGTCCTGGGCCTCCTGGCAGCCTGGCCCTCAAAGCCACTGCAGGGATAGCCTTGCTTACTTCCAGTGGGCTGTAGGCAAGTCTCCTGGTTGGCCAGAGCAGATCACTTAATAGCCTTGTCCTGGGCAGGAATACACCATCAGTGCCAGAAGCTGCTGGGGCAGCAGGCAGACCCTGGAGCAGCTACTGCAACCCATCGTGCTGGGCCAATGGTAGGGGCAAGGGAGCGTGCGGTCTCAGGGGCGAGGCAAGCAACCCATCATGAGCATCAGCTTATGTATCCTCCATAGACACAAACACACTAGCAGCCCTCCCTCACCAAATATCCTGGGGTGATCTAGAATAGTTCCAGGCACTCGCCTTGCTAACAGTCTGAGTGTGGGAAATGGCAGAGAGGCCTGGAAGGGGCTGGGGTTTATAAATGCTATCTTCCGTCCTGGGACTGCGATGGGGGATACACCCTCACCTTTCAGAAAGCCCTGGGCTTCCTCACAACTGTTTTTAGGTTGGTGCCTTTATTCTGTGATCTCTGTCTCTGTCCCAGTACTGCTGTCCCAGACACTGAGAAGGAGCAGGGGTGGACCCCTATAATTGGGCCCCTCCTGGCCCTCAAGGAAGAGGACCAGCTCCTGGTCAGGAGACTGAGCCATCATGTCCTGAGTGGTGAGGGTGAACCAGATCTGGGCCTTTGGGGGTGGGTCCCTGAACTGTCCCCTCTCTCTGGGTCAGCCAGTGTCCAGGGTCCTTCTTTCCAAGTGAGGGTCTGCACCTGAGCTGCCCTCCTTCTATGGGACCTCGGGGATATCTGAAGAATAATGGAACCCTCCTCCTGCAGGAGGAGCAGGGCAGCCAGGGGCGGTATGAGGGAGCAGTTAATTGCATGGACACAGATGATGGCCTGAGCACAGGAGGCTGCAGCTGCTTCCCAAGGCCACACCCAGCCCTGCCTTCTGAGCAGTCTCCCTAGCTGTGGATGGGGATGGTGTTAACTGAATGGAATGATACGTGTAGGGGGCTTAGCACAGCGTCTGTGCAGAGGGCCCTTACAGGGAGATCCATCAGTTATCTTTTCTAGTGCCCCTGTCGTGGTGGAGGCTGTGGGTTGGTGTGTGGGCCCCATGATGAGACCCAGGGAAGAGCCCCCAGGTCCTGGCCTGGCTCTCTGCCTCTGTGTGATAAATTCATTGCTCTGGGCATATGTTGCCCCTCCCTGGGGTGGAGTGGGGATGTCTGATAATGGAGGGACCAGGCTGCTGGGCCTCAATGCCTGACCAGCATCTCCACCCGCTGTCCTGCCTCGCCCTACCCCAGCCAGTGTGGCGAGCTCTGCCGTGATGAGCACAGCCATCATGGCGACGCTGCTGCTCTTCAAGCACCAGAAGGTAGGGGGTACAATATGGTGGGGACCTCAGTGGGCGGGGTGTGGCCCTCCTGCTCAGCCCTGCTCTGCCCACCCAGGGCGTGTTCCTGTCGCAGCTCCTGGGGGAGTTCTCCTGGCTGACGGAGGAGATACTGTTGCGTGGCTTTGATGTAGGCTTCTCTGGTCAGCTGCGGAGCCTGCTGCAGCACACACTGAGTCTGCTGCGGGCACATGTGGCCCTGCTACGCATCCGCCAGGGGGACTTGCTAGTGGTGCCGCGGCCTGGCCCAGGCCTCGCGCACCTGGCACGGCTGAGTGCTGAGCTGCTGCCCGTCTTCCTGAGTGAGGCTGTGGGTGGTGAGTCTTGAGGGGTAGGTGGGATGTGTGTGCAGGTGTTAAGGGAGCAGCTCCTTCCTCATAACAGTCCCTCCTCACCCAGCCTGTGCGGTGCGGGGGCTGCTGGTAGGCAGAGTGCCGCCCCAGGGACCCTGGGAGCTGCAGGGCATAGAGCTGCTGAGCCAGAACGAGCTGTACCGCCAGATCCTGCTGCTGATGCACCTGCTGCCACAAGAGCTGCTGCTCCTGCAGGTCAGGCCTCCCCTACGGCCCACTTGGTCCTAGGCCTTCGCCTCTTGGTGGTAGGAATGGCCATCCCTGCCCAAGCACCACCTCTGAAGTCTCCAGGGTGGTAGGTCTGGCCTTGCCCTGCCTTTGGCTAGGCCCCTGCCCATGTGCTTGGCTCGCCTGAGGCTACATGGGTCCCTTTTTCTCCCTAGCCCTGCCAGTCTTCCTACTGTTATTGTCAGGAGGTGCTGGACCGGCTCATCCAATGTGGGCTCCTGGTTGCTGAGGAGGTAGGCAGGGCTGTTGGAGACAAGACCCCTGCCTGGGGCCTGGCCTCCTCCAGCCTCCCACCCTGAGTGCCAGCTGCCACAGGCTCCTTCTCTGCCCTGTGTGTGCTGTGGGGGTGGGAAGCCCCTGGCCTTGCAGTGGGGAAGCCTAGCTTGCACCTCTGCGCCCTGGGCCTTGGGATATGGCCACCTATGCCCTGGGTGCGTGTATGTGTCTCTGGACAGCACTGGCATGTGTGCCTCTGAATTCCCCTGCATACCTCCTGTTCCGCAAGTTTCTTGGCCACAGGGCTGCGGCTGTTGAGGGAGGGTGTTCACTTTCTCTGACTCTGCAAGTTGGCCCAGCAGGTGCTGTGGTGTGGCATGGCTCTGGGCATCCTTTTGGGCACTCCAGATCTGGTTTTACTGGATTCACCTGCATGTACCTGGTCTGGGGGTGTAGGGTTGATCCCTGGCCAGCTTGTCAGAGAACAATGGTTCCACGGCCCCCAGACCCCTGGCTCCCGAGCAGCCTGTGACACAGGGCGACAGCGAATGAGCAGAAAGCTGCTGTGGAAACCGAGTGGGGACTTTACTGATAGTGACAGTGATGACTTCGAAGAGGCCGAGGGCTGGTACTTCAGGGTGTGTTGGAAGAAGTGGCCCCTGGAGGGAGGTGGTAGGGAGGCTGTGGGGAGCTGCACTCACCCTGACCTGTCCCCTCCAGCTCAGAGCAGTTGCGCTGCCCAGACTTCTTTCTTTCCCTCTGCCGCCTGCTCAGCCCACTGCTCAAGGCTTTCACACAGGCTGCTGCCTTCCTCTGCCAGGGCCAGCTGCCTGATACTGGTGAGGCCCTTCTTCCTTTGCAGTCCTCAAGGCAGGCTCTGTCTGTGTGGGGCCCCAGGTCTAGGTCTTCTCTCTTCCGCAGAGTCTGGCTACACAAAGCAGCTGTTTCAGTTGCTCCAGGCCACCGCCCAGAAAGAAGGGATCTTTGGTGAGTACCAAGCAGTCAGCCAAGGCTCCTGGAGGCAATGGTGTGTTTGCTGATGGCTGCTGCCCCCTGACGGACAGTGACAGCCCACTCTAGGAATGAGAGCTGCAAAGTATAGAGGGTCTTCTGTCCAGTCTGAACTCTATCCCTCCCTGGGCTCCTTCTTTAAACAAGAGGAGGAGAGAAGCATGTGCCCAGTGACTCCTTGTCCTCCCGACCTAAAGCCTTCACTTCTGTCTTCTTTCCAGAGTGTGTGGACCCAAAGCTCGCCATCAGGGCTATCTGGACCTTCAGAGACCTAGGGGTATGATGAACCAATGTCACCATCTTCCTGTCCTCCTGCTCCCACCCCGATAGAGCTGTTCAGGAAAACCCAGCTATGTCCCCACCACCCCACAGGGCTGGCCTGATGGTGCCTCATTAAGACCATGGGGTTTACCTGATGTCTTCCAGCAACAGATGTGGTGATGGGTTGGAGAGGGTGGAATGGTTTTTCTGCCTCTTGGTCTCCCAAATCACTGGCTCATCCTTCTAGGTGAGGTATTGGGGCTGCTTTGAGGCAGTATTTGCACTTAAACACTGAGGCCTGAGGGGCCAGAGGTCTCAAGACAGCTTTCTGGGGGACAGGCCTGGCCCCTGGGCCCTGTGGACACAGTCCCTGTGGTGAGGGCACTCACGGCCCATCTTCCATGGCCCAGGTTCTGCAGCAGATACCGAGACCTGCAGGCCCCAGGCTCCACCTGTCTTCTACTTTTGCCAGCCAGGACAATCAGGAAAAACTAGAACAGTTCTTCCGGCAGTTCATTTGTAGCTAGAACTGTGAGGTGGAGCCTGTGCTGAGACTTCTCAGCTCCAGAACACAGCTGTGTCCTAGAGCCAGAAGAGAGACAGGAGGCTGCAAACCCTTACCTGGTCTATAAAATCATTGAGGCTTGGTTGTCCCTTGCCATTTCTTGTTTTCTCCCTCCTTTGATATAATAAACAAGAAGACTGGGCGTGTTGTCTTTTCCCAAGCCCCGCAGTATCTTTTTGGCATACGTGTATATGTGTATTTGCTTTCTTTCCCACAAAAGTGCCCCCACTTGTCCCATGAAACAAAGCCCAAAAGAAGACAAACAGTAGTAGAAGCCAAATGGCTGCTTTGGCCTAAAGAGTTTATTGAAGAGAGTTTTTTTCCTCCCTTCTACCTAGAAGAAGAGGCTTGCAGGGCTGACCCCTGCCCACCTGGCATTGGGCCTTTCCCTGGGCTAGGCTGAGTGGGAGCAGATGCCCCTCCTATGTTGAGGGCCTGTGCAGGATCCATCACACCACCTTGTTGATGATGACACCTAGTTCTTCAATCTCACACTGGACTTCATCCCCCTTCTGCAACAGAGCAGGAGGCCGTGAAGGGGTCAGCCCTTCTGTCAGACACACATACATACATGCCAGCCTGTACTTCTCCAGTCTCAGCCAAGCCTGCCAGGCCTTTGGGGCCTTTGCTCTCTTTCCTTTTCACTAACCTACCTTGAGAAAGACAGGAGGTTTCCTGAATACACCAACACCTGGGGGGGTCCCAGTTAGGATGACATCCCCTGGGTAAAAGGTGACAAACCTGGAGAAAAGCAAGAGGACCCGGTGAAACCAGGGGCTGACTGAGGTGGCCACAGCCAAGGGTGGAGGGCTCGCATCTGCCTCCACATGTGTGGCAGATGAAGCAGGGCTGGCAGGACAGGCCCTGTCACTCACTGGGAGACCCAGGCTATCAGCTCTTCTGTCTTGAACACCATCTGGTTGGTGTTGCTGCTCTGGACCACTTCCCCATTCACTCGGCAGCAGATCTTTAAGTTGTGTGGATCTGAAATGCAAAATGGTACCTTGGAATTATCCCTTTTCCCCCCTCAAACCCCCCATATTTCAAAAACACAACTGTACGGGGCCTTCATGACTTGCCAGGTGAAAAGGCTTTGTGCCTACACTGACTCAGTGCTCTACATTAGAACTTTCTGATAGACATTGGCCTTCTCAGGCCTCCCTGTATTCCCACCAAGAGCACCAGGCAGTAGTCACTTGGATGAGTTAAGAGGATATTCCAGACTCTGAAGGGGGAGAAAAAAATGGCTAGGGTTTTTGTCTTGGAAAAAAAAAAGGGGGCATCTGTCTACAGTATAGGATGACACTTGTAGATACAAAGATGACTTGGCAGGGCCAAGTGTGGTGGCTCATGCCTGTCATCACAGCACTTTAGGAGGCCAGGGCAGGCGAGGACTGATTAAGCTAAGGAGTTCAAAACCAGCCTTGGGAATGTAGTGAAATAATAAAAACAGCCAGGCGTGGTGGTGCATGCCTGTAGTCCCAACTACTCAGGAGGGTGAGGTGGGAAGTTTGCTTGAGCCCTGGAGGTTGAGGCCTCAGTGAACTGAGATTGCACCACTGCACTCCAGCCTGGGTGACACAGAGACCCTACCACAAAAACAAAACAAAACAAAAAGACTCAACATTGATAGGGCAGTGAGGTAATGGCGCGAGCAGGGAGTGAAGCCTCGTGTGCTGGAAGCTGGTGGGGGATGGCTTACCGTGAGAGCATCCTGGCTAACCAGCGCTTTTAACTGTTTTGCTGCTGGCCTTTGTGTTCTACCCTCTTAAGTAGAGCAGCTGAAACACAATTTAACTTTGCCAAGGACTCTGCACGGGGTGCTGTGGGGCACTGAGCTTTTCAGCATCCCGGCAAGGCTGGCCCACATGGAAATCCCCCACCTCCACCACGGTTGTGGATGGCTGTGCGTTAGAGGATACGCTCTGCTCTCTGGACCACTGCCTCTGTCCTGGCGCGCCCTCCTCACTGTGTGGTCAGTGCTGTTTCCACAGTGGCTGGGTGAGTCCCATTGGCTCTCATCTCCTGTACTGCGGAAAATGACTGGCCTTGCGATAGCTGTGCTCCATGATGCTCAACTTAAAGGTTGTTCCAGATGGTGGCAGCCACAGGAAGCCTGATCCACCCATCAGCTCGGAGTTCTTTGTAATTTACTTCATGCATGCAGTTTCATATCCTCTGCAGTCAAGTTCCCTCTAGGGGGCTTGGGAAGGAAGCCCATGGGAGACCTCATGGCTTGGGATAAGAGACTTGCCCTGTATGGAGTCAGCAGTGAAAGGGCAGCCAGGGAGGGCAGGTGCACAAGTACTGAACCCACACTCCTCCCTGGAGTGCTGTTCATCTGTGCAGTGGTAGGCACAAGGGGGCAAGAACCAAGAACCTACCTGCTACACTGTCCTTGGTCACCAAGGCAGGGCCCAGAGGGCAGAAGGTGTCGAAGGTTTTTCCCAGCAGCCACTGTTTCCCATTGCGTCTCATTTGCCAGTCACGGGCACTCACGTCATGAGCCACAGTGAAGCCGGCCACATGGGCCATGGCATCTGTGGCCTATGGGGGCAGGGGATTTGGCCATACAGGAGGTGAGATCACGGGTGACACCAACCCCTATAGCAAAGGATCTCAAAGCCGTTATCCCATGTTAGTAGCCAGAGCCAGTCGAAGGTGGGTGAAGGGCAAGGCAGCGTCAGGGAGCAAGGAGGCTGACCGCTTCCTAGTGTCAGGGACAGCTGGCACTCGTGTGTTGGTGAGTGAGGTCAGCATTAGGAGAGGCAGCAGCTGGGGCTTCTGCTGCACTCTAGCCTGGGAGCCCACCCTTTCCACCTCACCTTGATGTGCTTGCCTTTCTTTCCAATGACTACAGCCAGCTCCACTTCCCAGTCTACCTCCTGTAGGGTGGGAGAGGAGCAATGAGCTGCAGTGGCCTCTGGGCCCATTATTGATGCTGGAAGGCTGCACACCGTGGATCTCTGTCAGTATGGCTTGGCTGCCAGCCCATGTTTGCCATCACTATGAACCAGAGCCACGTGAATGACAAGGGAGGTGTGACTTATAGACCCATACATTCATTTTGGGCAGTGGCAGGCAGCGTCATGGGATGCAGGCACAGGTCCCCACCCCACTGTGACTGCAGAAGAGCAACACGTGTGTCCAGGGGTCTGAGTTTAAGTCACTCTGGATACCTGCAACAAAGGATAAATATGAAGTAATACCACCTAGCAATATGTCACTGCACTGTCTGTCAGGCACTATTCTAAGTGCTTTAATGTATTAACTCACTTTAGTAAAAAAAAGATTGACATTCCACAAAGGACTTGAATAAGCAATTCATAAAAAGGTAATACACATGGCCACAAAACATGAAGAAATACTCAGCCTCTTCCATAGTCCATAAAGTACAACTACAAAATAGATATAATTTGGCTTTTAAAATTGGCATCTCTTTCTAATAATACGCAGAGTTGGTATAAGTAAGTATACCTGACATCCAGATGTTGGTCTCTAATACCATGCCCTACTTAGAAGCACTGAGTTCCTGGGGGAAACAGCTAATTCTAGGTCCAAGACAGACAGTACATGATGAGACTGGAACATCTTAGCCAGAAAGCAAGGATATATTAAAAGTGGTGGGGATGGAATCAACTTAATGGCCCCTCACCAGCCAAACTGAGGTCATCTAAAGAATGTAAATGATGAATTTCAAACAACTGAGTAAAAACAAAAATCATGAATTCACAGTGATACTGAAGACACAGAAATGAAATGGACGGAGGCAGCTTTTCTGCATAGAAGAATGCTAGCCAATAAAAACATAAGGCATGATTTAGAAAAGTCATTGTTCTTCTGGGCCTGGTGCAGTGGCTCATATCTGTCATCCCAGCACGTTGGGAGGCCGAGGTGGGGGGATCACCTGAGGTCAAGAGTTCAAGACCAGCCTGGCCAACATGGTGAAACCCTGTCTCTACTAAAAATAAAAAAAAAATTAGCCAGGTAAGGTGGTACATGCCTGTAATCCCAGCTACTTGGAAGGCTGAGGCAGGAGAATCACTTGAACCCAGGAGGCTGAGGTTGCAGTGAGCGCAGATCATGCCACTGTACTCCAACCTGTGCAACAAAGTGAGACTCCATCTTAGAAAAACAACAAAAAGGTCATTGTTCTCTAACCCTCAGCGCAATAATAGATACAGTAAGGACGACCACAGGATCCCTGGATGAGAAGCTATGGGGCAGTAAGATAGTTATGTGATCTCAAACTACCACCCATAGATTGCTTATTAATTATAAAAATGGAAATGCATCTTCACAATGGAGGGATCTAGTGAATGTCAGGTAAACCAAGTGGCCAAATTCTGGGATGGCTGACATGAGCTTCCCAGTGGAATGTAATAGGAAATGTACATCTCTATAGACCTCTTGATAAAAATGCTTACCCTGACACTTATCATGAAGGAACAACCAGACAAACCCAGGGTGTGAAACGCGCTATGAGACAACTGGACTCTTCAAGGAAACGGCAGGGAGGATTGTTTGAGGTCAGGAGTTGGCAAACCATGGCCAGCTCATGGTCTGCTATAATAAAGTTGGATTGTAAACCCATCATTCATTTCTGTATCATCCCTGGTGGTTTTCATACTACAGCAGCAGAGTTCAATTGCTGCAGAAGAGACGATATGACACTCACAGCCTAATATTTACGAATTGGCCCTTAATATGGTTTCGCTGTTTCTCCACCCAAATCTCATCTTGTAGCTCCCATAATTCCAACGTGTTGTGGGAGGGACTTGGTGGGAGATGACTGAATCATTGGGGCAGGTCTTTACCATGCTGTTCTTGTGATAGTGAATGTGAGTCTCATGAGATTTGATGGTTTTAAAAATGGGAGTTTCTCTGCACAAGCTCTTTTTCTGCCTGCTGCCATCCATGTAAGATGTGACTTGCTCCTCCTTGCCTTCTGCCATGATTGTGAGGCTTCCCTAGCCACACAGAACTGTAAGTACAATTAAACCTCTTTCTTTTGTAAATTGCCCAGTCTTGGGTATGTCTTTATCAGCAGCCTGAAAACAGACTAATACAGCCCTTTGTTTGTTTGCAACAAACAAAGTAACAAAATTAAAAGTCATCTTTGGGGCAGTCAGCAGTACTTCCAATTGGGAATTG